GGGGGGTGTTATGTAAAGACCCCTTGACACGTCACGTGCCCATCTCAATAATTTTTCCATATATATATATATATATATATATATATATATATATATATATATATATATATATATATATATATATATATCAAAGTTAAAAAATGTACAACTCTATTATTTTTATTTATTATCATTATTGAAGTGCAGTTTTGGCTGTTGACAATGGATAGGCCATTGTATTTATTGTTTTGGGTCTTTTTTATTGTTTTTGGTGCAACATTTTCTAACAGGGAGTGAGATTCCTTTTTTATTCAATTTTTGTTTGTTATTTTTATTCATTTAGAAGTTCTGGTTCTGGACATTTCAATGTTAAATGAAAGTTTATTTGTTGCATTTTAAAGGGTGTACTTGCATTATTATGATATATTAACATTATATTAGTGGTTATTTTGGTCTAGATAATGTTGACAATATCGTTTATCATCAACAATTTGTTGGACAAAATATCGTCCAGCAAAATTTGTTACATTCTCAGGCCTAGTCAAAAGTATAAAAATTATTTATACATAAACGGTCCCTCCTGAGATCTGGCCGTTTGTTCATTTGCTGTGTTAGAGGACATGCTGAACTAATGTTTTACACATGATCATCACCCTAACATTTGAGTGTATAAAAACATATTAAATATGTTTTTTCCCTTAAAAGTGTTTAAACAGTTGTTGCATTTCAACACACAAAAAATAAATGGAAAAAATAAGATAAATATAATGAAAAGTGTACATCTTTGACATTAAGCTTAAAAAAATCTGTTGACGATGATGATACTGTTCATTTTTCAGAGCTTTTTAATGTGAAAATATACATTGCAATAGATAAGTTTACAATAAAGTTAAATGATAAAAGTTTTGAAGTTACACTTCTACTACTACTAGTAATAATAATTATGATGATAATAGTAATAATAAAAAAATAATTATTATAATAATACGAATAAATTGTGTCTGAGGAGTCAGTTATGTGGAGGAGATGAGTTTGTAAAAGTTAGTTTTGAGTATGTGTGTGAAGGAGGAGGTGAGTCTGAGCTTAATGCAGGGGTGTCACATGTCCGACTTACGTTTTGACTTTGAAAGAAGTCTCTTATATCCACTTTTCGTTTTCTTGACATGCTGCCTCCTGGCTGTGCCTAACTACCAAAGACTCACAAATGAACACTTATTCAAATGTTATGTAATGGAAGCTGAGCTGAGCTCTGATATTACACAGCGTCTAGTTGACGATGTGACTCAGTACCGGTGTTCCCTAGCGGCTCCAAACTAGCAAAACAACGTGAGCACGTTCTGACTGTTTACAACTTGAGTGACAGCAGCAACAGCCAATATTACGTTAGCAAGTATCAGCAGAGCCAATAGATTAGCTTTTGGGTGGGTCTAATAGTAAACCGGTTTCCGTTTCGGTCCTAGTGCTCAACCAAATCCATTTAATGGAGCGTAACATTGTTTTTGGACGGAAAAAAGTGCAGGGGACCAAAACTGCCTTTTGAAAAAGTGGGGGGGACATGTCCCACCCGTCCCCCCCCAAAATTACGTCCCAGCACAGACCCACGGATATTATCGTCAGTTTATCAATGAAAACAACCTTTGAGTCTTCTTAAAACTATAAAATTTGGTTATTAATTTATTAAAATTAATATCTCAAATTAATATGTAGAATGGTTCCTCTTTCATAAAAGAGCATAAACCATTACACTACAAAGGCTATCAGATGTCTTTTAAACTTATAGCGAACAAACATGACCTATTTTTAATAGTATAATTATTATTAACACAACCAGTCATCATCTTCATCTTTGGTTACCTCTGAAACCTTTAACACTCCCAAATTTCATCAGTCCCAGAAAAACAACGTAACTTTAATAACTTTAACTTTAGTAACTCTAAAACGATAACTGTTTTTTTTAATACTGGAAATTGATTTGCTACCCAGAATAAGACTTTTTAAGGCAAATATGTGAAGAGGATACAGAAGCTGTCACAACTATCCTTGTGTCTATTGATCCAGGTAGTTGTTTATGTTCTTTTTACAACACAAGGTGGTGGAGATGGTCAGTGTTTTACTATAGACACTTATATCCTGTTTTGTGTTCCATCCAGAAAATCTTTAATGCTTTTTTTGGCATCAGTCAAGTAGTCAGTCACACAGCTGAGAGCTGTAGGCTGTTAAAGTCTTTGCAGAGAAAATTTCCTTGATTAGTTGCTATCGACTGGAGGACCAATACAGCTGGAGCTCAAGTGATGCTGGAGCAGGTGACACAGCTCACCAGGGCTAGGAGGCAAAGCTCTATCAAGTTATTCACTTCCCTTTCTAGATAGAATATACAGGTGCTGGCCAGTAAATTAGAATATCATCAAAAGGTTGAAAATATTTCAGTAATTCCATTCAAAACGTGAAACTTGTACATTATATTCATGCAATGCACACAGACCAATGTATTTCCGATGTTTATTACATTTAATTTTGATATTTATAGGTGACAACCAATGAAAACATCAAATCTGGTATCTCAGAAAATTAGAATATTCTAAAGGCCAATGAAAAAATGTTTGTTTCTCTAATGTTGGCCAACTGAAAAGAATGAACATGAAAAGAATGTGCATGTATAGCACTCAATACTTAGTCGGGGCTCCTTTTGCCTCAATAACTGCAGTAATGCGGCGTGGCATGGACTCGATCAGTCTGTGGCACTGCTCAGGTGTTATGAGAGCCCAGGTTGCTCTGATAGTCGTCTTCAGCTCCTCTGCATTGTTGGGTCTAGCGTATTGCATCCTCCGCTTCACAATACCCCATAGATTTTCTATGGGGTTAAGGTCAGGCGAGTTTGCTGGCCAATCAAGGACAGGGATACCATGGTCCTTGAACCAGGTGCTGGTGGTTTTGGCACTGTGTGCAGGTGCCAAGTCCTGTTGAAAGGTGAAGTCTGCATCCCCATTAAGTTGGTCAGCAGCAGGAAGCATGAAGTGCTCTAAAACTTCCTGGTAGACGGCTGCATTGACCCTGGACCTCAGGAAACAGAGTGGGCCAACACCGGCAGATGACATGGCACCCCACACCATCACTGACGGTGGAAACTTTACACTGGACCTCATGCAACGTGGATTCTGTGCTTCTCCGCTCTTCCTCCAGACTCTGGGTCCTTGATTTCCAAAGGAAATGCAGAACTTGCTTTCATCAGAAAACATAACTTTGGACCACTCAGCATCAGTCCAGTCCTTTTTGTCCTTGGCCCAGGCGAGACGCTTCTTGCGCTGTTTCATGTTCAAGAGTGGCTTGACACACGGAATGCGACACAAGAATCCCATGTCTTTCATGAGTCTCCTCGTGGTGGTTCTTGAAGCGCTGACTCCAGCTGCAGTCCACTCTTTGTGGATCTCCCCCACATTTTTGAATGGGTTTGTCGTCACAATTCTCTGCAGGGTGCGGTTATCCCTAGAGCTTGTACACTTTTTTCTACCACATTTTTTCCGTCCCTTCGCCTGTCTGTTAATGTGCTTGGACACAGAGCTCTGCGAACAGCCAGCTTCTTTAGCAATCACCTTTTGTGTCTTGCCCTCCTTGTGCAAGGTGTCAATGATTGTCTTTTGGACAGCTGTTAAGTCAGAAGTCTTCCCCATGATTGTGGTGCCTTCAAAACAAGACTGAGGGACCTTTTAAAGGCCTTTGCAGGTGTTTTGAGTAAATCAGCTGATTAGAGTGGCAGCAGGTGTCTTCTATATTCAGCCTTTTCAGAATATTCTAATTTTTTGAGATACCAAATTTGGAGTTTTCATTAGTTGTCACTTATGAATATAAAATTTAAATGTAATGAACATTGGAAATACATTGGTCTGTGTGCATTGCATGAATATAATGTACAAGTTTCACGTTTTGAATGGAATTACTGAAATATTTTCAACCTTTTGATGATATTCTAATTTACTGGCCAGCACCTGTATTACTCTCTGGAGGAGACGGGTGAGTTCAGACTGATGTAGGAGACACAAGGAGATGTATGCCCATAAATTTGTTTTCCCCAAGTTTTTATGTAAAGGATAGTAATTGTCAGAAGTAAATTCATTGCTAAATCTTTACAAAAATATTTTAGGTTTTATACGTCATGACAACACTGAAGGGGGTGCATTTTTTTGTAACTCATCTGGGAGCTTCAATTCAGCTCTTCAGAAACCTACGAGTGATGATGTAGTCAGGATTAGGATCGGTACACAGAGGTATTTACTGTATATAATCTGCATTTAAGTGTAGTTTAAAAAGTTTTATTTACACTTTTACCACTACTGAATCATCTTGTGACGTATTTCCTGTTACTTTTAGGCACAACAGTCTCTACCATAGACCTATGCTAACTGGCGCATGCATGCTGGATCCTACCCCCCCCCCCCCCCCCCCCCCCTACCCCCCCTCAAAAAATACAAAGAGTAGGAGAGCCTTTGGGCGCAGGGGTACAGCGCCTGTGAAGACACGGCAGAAGACCTGGGGGGGGGGACAAAATCATGCCCCCCCCCCCCCCCCCCCCCCAGGTGGTGCTCACTCCTCCCCCCTGCCTCATGGACCCAAGGAATAAACCATCAACCCTGCTCAATGGTACACTTTCCTCACGGGGTCACAACCCATTAGGACAGTGGGAGGGTTAAAGAATTATTATTTTTTCCAAATAAACCATCATTTTTTAAAGGAAGCAAATGGATAAGAAACATGTTAACAGTACAAGTTTATTACAAAATCTCGTCATTCATATGCACCTTCCCATAGCAGGTCGTGCAAATCTCGGCTGGCAGGCTCTTTTCGGGACAACAACTGTTAAATTGTGCCCCACCAAATAAAAAATTCACCAGCCGCCACGGGTACCAATGCTGACACACAATTTCAGCGTATTTAAAACATAACACAGCCCAACAGTTTAAAGTGTAATGTAACGTTGATCAAACTGTGTATGTATGAATGTGAGTGTGAACACTGAAGCTCCTCACCGTGTACTCTGACCATGTTTTCATCAGAGACCAGCAGTACAATGGACAGGAGGGTGGGGGATGGGAGACAGGTGCGAGAGAGAACAAAGACATGAAACAGTGTGAGAATAAAGGAAAATGGGATTAAGACCTTTTGGCCCAGTAGTAACATAAAGTTTCAGTAAAAGGACACGAGAACAGATCCCCATATTTAAATCTTTGTGATACGGCTACATATCTGTCACTTTCAACCGGCTGAAATATTTAATCACACATTTGTCATAGAAATAGAAGAAGAGTTGTGCGTTTCCTCATCGAGTTGCCAAAAATTAAACATAACCATGAAAGCATGAAAGTTTTGTGAATAAAGTTTTCTCAAAAATAATGATTACACCTAAAGAAATACACTTTTCAGTATTAAAACTTCTGCTTTGTGTCTTCATTAAAAGGCAAAAAGCCAAACAAAACGTGGCTCTGTTTAAAAAATGAAATAACTCTGAGACTAAAGCAAAAATAAGAACCTTCCAATGAGGGCCTTTACCGTTACCGTTTAAGCTTATTTCTGTATGTGATGCAAGGGAAATTAAATTTAGTCCCCTTAGAGATTCATTACAGCAGCTGAGAAAAGCTGAGCAGGATTGTGTTTTTAGTTAGCTACAAAAGAAAAAAATATCTATTTATTGACATTTAAATCATTACAGAGAGAGTAATTATTATCATGAGAAGCAGGTTCTATGCAGTTTTAATCTTGGCTGATATTGCCAAACAACTGAAGGCTAATCACGTTTACAAATGAGAACATGATCTAGGTGAGTTATAGAGAGGATAAGGACTTATTACTTATGCATTACCTGTGATGGTGTATGGATAATAGTTCCAAGCCTTCTCTGTGACGTAGAAAATTTTTGGGACCACTGCTCTGGCCCAACTGGGCAGCTTGCTGGAACACACACACACAGATACAAAAATAAGCAGAAATGTAAATACATGGAGAAGGAAAAAGGCAAGGAGACATGTGAGACAAACAGCATGTGTGCTGCAGAGTCAAATAAAAATGTTCTCTGAGTTTCTCAACTCTTTTCCTTTTGGCTTATCAACCAGAGGAGACCAAAAGAAAACCCCAGCTGTGTGGAGACATTATGGTCCAATAATGCAGGCTTCATACTCCCCAGGGGAAGTTGATTACACTGATTACAGCCTGCACCCTGCTGGGGAGTTTTTCTGAAGCTTGTGCTGTGCTACAGACAGAGGCGTGAAGAAAAAGAAAAAGAAAAGTACAGAGGAAAGGCCAATTCTCGCCCCAAATTATTTCGAAATGAAGCAAAATTACTAGGATCAGAGATTGATCTCACATGAATGCAACTGATGTCATCTTGAAGCTGGCTATTTCAACAAACTGACTGTAGTCATTGAATGACAAATGATGTGCAAAATAGAGGGATGCAGACAGTTTTCATTACGTCTGATCGAATGCAATTCAGCTCAAGTTACACGTGTCTTTTTTATGAATACTAGCCCATTAGGAAAACATATTTCACATAGGAATTAAAAGATCAATGGAAAAAGCTGGGCCAGGTTTCAGCAATTCCTTTTCTCACTGTTTGTTATCCTGCCAGTCATGGTGCTGTATCCACAGATGTCCTTAATATGGTCAAAACATAAAGAAAGCATGAGTCTTTTGTAAAAAACACCAAGTCCTGTGATGTATATTACTTACATATAACATTTACGATGTGTAAGGTACAGACGCGGACATAATTGCTGGTACCCTTCGGTCAATGAAAAGGACAAAAGTACCGTATTTTCACGACCATAAGGCGCACCTAAAAGTCTTAAATTTTCTCCCAAATGTACGCCACGCCCTATGGTGCGGTGCGCCTATTGTGTTTTTGTGAGACACGAACGTAGTAGAAGACAAGGGGCGTGGCGTGAATGTGCGGACGTGAGCGAAGACAGACCTGTGGATCTGCCACATCGTCATCAACATCCTCGCTATTTGCCTCAGACTCCGGCTGTGAGTCTCCGTCCACTTCCTCTGCTTCCAGTTCAAAAAACAGCCGTACTATCTGAACTGCCTGGTGGACATTTATCCTTCTCATCATCCTTTATTAAAGCCTAATAAAAGCCTACTAAACTGCAGAGACAATATATCTGTCCGGATCACTCCAAAATATGAAGTTTTCCGTCAATATCTGTCTAACAAGTACCAGAACCGCTCACAGCGCATGCGCAATCATGCATCCACACTGCTCGCCTGCTAGTTCCCTAATAACACGTTCGTTTTTATTTCTACACGTTTTTTTACTCACAAAGATTGTCAAGAAAGCGTGCTTGTCGTGTTCATGTCAAATTAAACTGATCACAAAACACAGATTTACTTTCTTTATTTTGTTTTCCTCATCCAACCCCCATAAATCCCTGTGTGTCCTCCTGCAGCACTCCCGGTGTACGCCCGGCTTTAGTAGGAGGGAGAGCCGCAATTATCGCTTTGTCTCGCATGTCTCATTGAAAATGAATGGAGGAGAGGCGAAGTTGCCTCCCGTGTGTCGAGCCCATTAGAAGAGCACGAGCCGTCAGCGCATGCAATGAGGAAGTGCACAATCGCTCTAAATCAGGTCTGAACCAGGACTAGACCAGTAAAGTGAAGCATGCTTTTGGCTATTTATAATTTTCACAATGTCTGGTTTGCAGTGATATGTTCCAAGTCCCGAGCCCGCACAGATGTTTTACCGGTACGTTTTACCGTGCCCCCGCCCGCGCCCTATAACCCGGTGCGCCTTTTGTATGTGTTAAATACCAAAAAGACACCCGTAACTGAAGCTGCGCCCTATAACACGGTGCACCCTATGGTCGTGAAAATACGGTAATGAAAAATAAAAATTCTATGAAATTCAACCAATGAAAGTCAGACATCGTTTTTCAACCATGCTTAAATGGAAATATCTAAAAAAGAAACTCATGGAACAGTCCTGGACAAAAATGATGATACCAGCAAGAAAAGACTGAAAATAATGTGACCAAAGGGAAAAGCTGTGTCCACTAATTAGCATCACAGGTGTCTACAATCTTGTAATCAGCGCTATATATGGGGCTCCAGGTAGTCACTGTGTTGTTTGGTGACATGCTGTGTAACACACTCAATATGGACTAGAGCAGGGGTCGGCAACCTTTTCCCATCAAAGAGCCATTATTACTCGTTTCCCATAGTAAAGGAAACACTGGGTGTTTCTCAATGTCAAGGCGCCTGGCCTTGATGTCTTGGCCCCGCCCCGGTTGCCTAGGAGACACGTCATCGAGAGCCGCCAAGATGTGTTCCATTGTTCATGTTCTACCGAGGCGTGTGTTCTCCGTTTGTTAGCCGTTTAGCTAGCTGAGCGAGGATACACGGGAGGTGTCTTGTAGCCTAGCCTTGGTCAAAATTTACCCAGAATACACAGCGATATTTTCAAAAGGATGTTGGATCAGAAGCTGGCAGCTACTTCAGGCACAATTTTCAAGTTTAAAAGTAAGTCAACTAATTTAAAATGTTTTTTTTTTAGATCCAAAGAAGTTATCTATGGTTGGTTAGTTGCTTAGTAGTTGTAGCTTCGGTGGCTAGCAGGTAGTAACTCACTTATATATTTAATTTAATAAACATATACACATTTTAAAAAGTAAAAGGCTCGTTATATATTTATATTGAAACAAATAGGTATAAAATATAATGTTGTCTCCCATGTCACGTGACGTTACGTGACCGCCGTGGAAGCCGCGGTCACATGATGCAAGTCTGTTCCATTTAACTGTTTTCTTTTACCAAGGAAGGTGTAGCGACATGAATGGCCTCATTTGTGACCCAAAGGTCACACTTCCCCAGCTGGGTCACGCTGTCCTGGCTGAACTTCTATCCACAGATTATTCATCACAGGAGACATAAAGTCTGCTAAACCATCTCTACTCTGACTGCCTTTTATCTGGTTGCTGTTCCTTCCCAAGACGAAGGACACTTCAAGATTTAAAATAATCATTTTTAATAAACTCTTTTCACTGTTTATTACAAGGTTCATAAATAATCATCATGGTTCATTACAAATGTATTTAATTACTGAAATGACTTATTCTTTGGTTAATAATAATTATTATTTATAATAATCAGTAATGTTTAACAGTACCAGAAGGTCATGTTCACTTATGCACACCATGCAGGACACTGAATTCAGGTTAAAGGTAACTGCTCTCACATGTCTTTGCTCCTAAACCAAAGCTTTCTATCTCTGAGAGGGCGTTTCCTGAGGTTTTGTTAAAACCAATTCAAGCTGACAGTTCTGAACCAACCAAAATCTCCGTGGCACAAGAATTCCAGAGGATAGGGTCGGCCGCCCGAAGCCTCACTAAGCTGTTCTGTCACGCCGATAGAATTGCTCCAATAAACGCCACCTGTACCAGCTGACGCAAAACTCCTTCAGAGTTAAGTTAAGATGCAAGCTCAACACCTGTGTATCAGCGGCAACTCTTGGACCAGAGAGTCGGTACCACTCGGGTCTTCCCTACCGGACCAAATACCCAGAGGCTGACAACATCCTCCAGACCTCCGGATCCACACAGAGGGTCGTCTGATCGGTGAGGTAGAACACAGATTGCGTCCGATGCTGTTCCCTTTAAGAAATAACTTAGTTAGCTGCAAAGCAACTATTTCACCCAGAATGCGTTTTCTCTCTCTGAAAGAAACCTTCAGAGATTCCATCCACGCATCCAAACACACACATTTCATTTTAGCTTTCATTCAGACACAGGCTGCTTTTAATACCAAGTTTAATATCAAAGCCTTTATAAATTGTCATTTATAAATTGTCATTTTTAAATTGTCTTTTAAATTGTCATCTTTAAATTGTTAGTAATAAATTATTAACTTTATAAACCTGACTCTTCCTTGAAATTAAACAAAGAATGGTGTATATTTGGTTATCGAACAAGCAAAGATTCCATTAAGTCTTCTGGTTTAATAAATAAACTTTTGCTATTAATTTAAATCTCTTAAATTAAATATTAATCTTTGGATTAAATATAGACCAAGCCAGTTGGTGTATGAACTTCTATTGATTACATAAATATCCATGGATATATATGTAAATATAAGCTTCATGTGCTAATTTGTTTGATCTTTCTCAGGATCTAACAAAGCTGCATAGCAAACAGCGTTAAATTCTAGTATGTAGATTAACTATGTGGACAGTATCCTCATGAGCAAGGCGCCTGCCCTCGCAAGACATCGCCTCGCAAGGCCAGGCGCCTTGACATTGAGAAACACCAAGAGCTCACCGTAGATTCTAGTTAAAGGGGCATTATGGAAGTTTGACAGCCAAAACATGTGTAGAAATAATACATTTCTTCTTCATACATTCTCCTGCAATGCCCTGGTCCTGTAGAATGAGCCCTGGCATTTTTACTGTGATTGCCTGTTTTTCTGTAAAATCACAGAAAAAGAGAGCTGCTTGGGTCGAGCAGGCTGCTTCATGCGCGTTCACGCTCAGGCATAGCCCTCCGAACCGTTCTTTGAACGTTGTTTCAGCTGTCATTAAGGATATAAATGTTACAGAAACAAAGGATGTCATTGGTGCTTTAGCTTGCCTAGCAAGACGTCGGATTTACATGCAAATGACCTGGGTTCGATTCTGGATGCGAACAGTTTATTTAGAGTTTCTTTTTTACATTAATGGTATATTTTTTTTACAGTAAGATGCCCAAATTTTTATTTGAGACTCGCCAAACTGCATTAAATTCACAGATAAAAAGATGTGGGTTCAACTTCCATTTTGGAACAATTTTTCAAGCAAGGGAAGGGAATGATCTGAGCATGCAGGACTGACCCATCTTAAACCTTTGTCGGCTGTGCTGAAGAGAAAGGTACAGAACCAAATTATTTAATTAATTAGCTGCGCGTTCTCCTGTCCTCCGGGCCAC